CCTGTGCTCAGCCCTGCCCGGGGGCCCCCCCCCCAGAGACCCCCGGGTGCCCCAGAACAGCGACTTCTGTTCCCCGCCGTGCCCCGACTCCCCCAAACTGCGCCCCAGCCCCTCAGCTCCGGGATTTGGGGTTCCAGGGGAGCCAGCCCGGCCCGGCAGCCCCAGAGCTCCCAGTTCCAGACTGGTCGGGGACTGGCCGCACCCGCTCCCCCTCCAGCCCCGCTCCCCCGCTGCCCTCCCCGGCCTCCAGCTCCACAACCGGCTTTTCCTGCCGCGGAGCCGCTCCCGGCGGGACCCAGCCCTGGCGACAGCCCGGCTGGAGGGCGACAGCCAGCCTGGGGACCTGCGGATGTCCCAGCGGCTCCCGGGGACCCTGGGAACCTCGCAGGGAATCCCGGCGCAGCTCCCAGGGCTGGGCTGGGCCGCTCGCGGACACTTCTGTCCCCTCGGAATGGATTCCTGGAGTCCCCAGCCGCAGTTCCCACGTGGGAAGCGAGGCCGTGCCGTTCCCCCGGCTCCGGGTGGTGCTCGGCTCCTGCAGAGCCTCCTGCTCCCCTCGGGCATTCGTCCCTGTTCTCTTCACTTCTGCCTATCTGCTCCTATCATTTCCATTCCTTTCTGTTTCTATTTCTATTATTTCTGTTTCTGTCCTTTCCCTGTCCTTGCTCTTATTCCTATTCCCATTTATTCTTATTGCTGCTTCTAATCCTATTCCTACTCATATTCCTGTTCTTATTCCTCTTCCTGTGCATTCCTATTCCTATTTATCCGTGCTCCTATTCCTATTCCTACCTATCCCTATTTATTCCTATTACTATTCCTATCCTATTACTATTCCTATTCCTGTTCTCATTCCTATTCCCATCTTCCCATTCCTGCTCCTTTCCCATTCCCCATTTTTCTCTCTCTTCCCCCTCGGCCCAGACAGTACTGGCGGTGCCGGGACTCGAACCCTCGGCCCGGCGGTACCGGCGGTGTCGGGACTCGAACCCTTGGACCGGCTGTACCGGCGGTGTCGGGACTCGAACCCGCGGCCCCCGGGGCGCGGCGCAGTTCCCGCCGTGGCCGCCAGGCGGAGCCGTTGCCCCGCGCCGCGGACGGGCCGGGGGGACCCGGGGGGACAATGCGGGGAGGGGGATCCTATTACTATTCCTATTCCTGTTCTCATTCCTATTCCCATCTTCCCATTCCTGCTCCTTTCCCATTCCCCATTTTTCTCTCTCTTCCCCCTCGGCCCAGACAGTACTGGCGGTGCCGGGACTCGAACCCTCGGCCCGGCGGTACCGGCGGTGTCGGGACTCGAACCCTTGGCCCGGCGGTACCGGCGGTGCAGGGACTCGAACCCTTGGCCCGGCGGTACCGGCGGTGCCGGGACTCGAACCCTTGGACCGGCGGTTCCGGCGGTGCCGGGACTCGAACCCGCGGCCCTCGGGGAGCGGCGCAGTTCCCGCTGTGGCCGCCAGGAGGAGCCGTTGCCCCGCGCCGCGGACGGGCCGGGGGGACCCGGGGGGACAATGCGGGGAGGGGGGGACACACCACACACAGGGGACAGGAGGGGACACACAGGGGACAGGAGGGGACAGCCCCACCCGGGTCTCCGACCCAGCCCCCCGGTTCCTGTCAGGGGAAGTTCCTGCCCGCAGAAGAAGACCCCCTCCCCAAAAACAACCCCCCATCCCCCTTGCAAAGCCCCCCCGTCCCGCGGCTGGGGGCGGTGGGGACAGCCCGGCGGGTGGCCGGGGGGACACCAGGGCTGGCCCGCGACCCCCGGCTGGGTCACGCTGCTGGGGGTCCTTGGGGCAGCACAGGGGTCACGGCTCTGAGTGGGGGTGGGAGAGGGACACAGACCCCCGGGGGTGTCCCCCCAGAATCGGGGCTTGTCACCGCCCCCGGGTGCCCCCAGAGCGGGGGGAGCGTGGCAGGGTGGGGGGTACGGGAGGGTCCTCTGGGGGGGCTCTGCCTTGGGGGTGGTGTTGGACTGGGGGACGCTGCTGGGAGTGGGTGGGAGCAGGGGAGAAATGGGGGGGCCATAAACAAACCCCTAAAACCCCCAGCCCCAAGCACGGATCCATCCCAGTCCCAAACCCCAACCCCCCTTCCCTGCCCCACAACCAACTCTATAAACAATCCTGAAAAAAATCCCCCCAAGAGCCCCAAACTCCCCTTGTAAACATCCCCGTCCCGCCCCCCGCAGTGTCCCCTGTGTCCCCAGGACCCCCCTCCTGCAGACAGGAGACCCTGCACACTTTATTTATTCCCTCACCCTCCTTCACCCACTCTTTGTTGTTTCTTGAGAGAGAGAAAGAAGAAAAAAAAAAAGAGAAAAAAAAAAAAAAAAAAGGGAGAGAGAGAGAGAGAGAAAAAAAAAAAAAAAAACCCACACAGGAGGAGGCAGGAGCCTATTTTGCCTCCCAGGCAATATTTCTGGAGCCAATCGGAATGCGCACCCACCCTGCCCTGCTCCCTAATTAAAGGCTTTAAGCAGGCGGCCGGGGCCGGAGGTTTGGGCACAGTCTCTCGGTGGCTCCTCTCGAAGCAGCCGCGGCTCCGGATCCGCTCGGGGCGCTCCAGGCCGCGGCAGCCGCCAGGTTGGGGGGTCCCGGGCGCGGGCAGGCAGCCGCCCCCTCCCCGCTGCCCGCCATGAGCGGCTCTTTCGATAAGAAGCTCTCCAGCATCCTGACGGACCTCTCGGGCTCGCTGAGCTGCCATGCAGCCTCCAAGGACTCTCCCACGCTGCCCGAGTCCTCGGTCACCGACCTGGGCTACTACACGGGCCAGCACGATTACTACCCGGGCCAGTCGTACGGGCAGCCCGTGGGCCACTACCCCTACCCCCAGTTCAACCTCAACGGCATCGGCGCCGCCGGCACCTACTCGCCCAAATCCGAGTATTCCTACAGCCCTTCGTACCGCCAGTACGGGCACTTCAGGGAGCAGCAGCTCCCGGCGCAGGAGGCAGGTACGGATGGAGCGGGGAAACCGGGGGGGACCGGGGGGGACCGGGGGGAGTGGGGCCGTGCCCGCCCCGCCGCTCCCGCGGGGATCCGGAGGGGCTTTGTGGGGTTTGAACCCCCCCTGAGATTTGTGGGGTTTGATCCCCCTGGGTTTTGTGGGGTGTAAGCCTCGGACTTTGTGGGGTTTAACCCCCCTGGGTCTTGTGGGGTTTGACCCCCCTGAGCTTTGTGGGGTTTGACCCCGGGATTTGTGGGGTTTGACCCCAGGGATTTGTGGGGTTTGACCCCCGGGATTTGTGGGGTTTCATCCCCCTGAGCTTTGTGGGGTTTGACCCCCCTGGGTTTTTTGGAGTTTAACCCTCCCTGGGTTTTTTGGGGTCTGACCCCCCCGGGCTTTGTGGGGTTTAACCCCCGGGTTTTGTGGGGTTTTAACCCCCGGTTTTGTGAGGTTTGATCCCCGGGATTTGTGGGATTTGACCCCTCTGGGTGTCCCCGATCGTTTTGGGGTTTAACCCCTCTGGGTGTCCCCGATCGTTGTGGGGTTGTGCCCCTCCGTGTGTCCCCGCCTTGGGGACAGGGGCTGCTGGCAGCTCTCGGGGCTCAGCCGTTCCCGTGGGGACACAGCGGGACGGATCCGTGCTGGGTCCGGGACACGTCCCAGGAGTGTCCCGGAGATTGTCACAGGGGACGGGGAGCTTCCAGCACCCCGAGCGGGGTGACACCGAGCTGGGCAGGGGGTGACACCAAGCCGGGCACGGGGTGACACCGAGCTGGGCAGGGGGTGACACCGAGCCGGGCACGGGGTGACACCGAGCGGGGCAGGGGGTGACACCGAGCGGGGCACGGGATGACACCAAGCGGAGCAGGGGGTGACACCGAGCCGGGCACGGCGTGGCTGCCCTGGGAGCCCTTCACGCCTCACCCCGCGGCCTCCCGCAGTGTCGGTGAAGGAGGAGCCGGAGCCCGAGGTGCGGATGGTCAACGGGAAGCCCAAGAAGATCCGCAAGCCCCGCACCATCTACTCCAGCTACCAGCTGGCCGCCCTGCAGCGCCGCTTCCAGAAGGCGCAGTACCTGGCGCTGCCCGAGCGCGCCGAGCTGGCGGCGCAGCTGGGGCTCACCCAGACCCAGGTGAGCGCTGAGCCCCCCCAGACACCCCAAACCCACCCCCGCGGGCAGCAGAGGGGGAGTTGGAGCTGCCACTCCCCCGTAAATCGCGGGTTTGGGAAGGGCTCGGCTCCCGGGGGTCGCAGGGATGGAGTTCCCCTTGTGGGGTCCTCGGGTGAGATTTCCCTGTTGGAGCAGATCCGAGGGAAAGGTGGAGAGGATGGAGGAGCAGGGAGAGGGGACCCCAGGTGTGCCCCAAGCGGCGGTTTTGGGGTTTATTTTGGGATAAAATAGGGTTTATCTCCCTCTGGAGACCTCACTGTGCACGGGGCTGGGGGCTGGATCCCGCCCCGGCACCGGGCCAGTCCCGGGTCACGGCACACCCGCTGTCCCAGGAATGTGGGGCACCGAGTCCCGGGCCAGCCGGGCTGCTGGGGGCGGGGTTCTGGGGACACCCCATCCCCAGAGCAGCTCCTGACCCCAAATCCTGCCACAACAGAGACCTGGGGGTCCCTGCCCCTGCTGCCCACACTTCCCAAGGTTTCCCGCGGCCCTGGCTGCCCCATCCCTCTCGGTTCGTGCAGGGAGAAGGGGTTTGGGGACCGGTTCCACGCCCGCTGTCCCCAGCGCTGGGGTGGCCCTGCAGGCTGGACTGGAAGAGCCGGGACGTGCACGAAAGGCTTCTCCTCCTCCTCCTCCTCCCGCGAGCCGCCCGCATTCGGGGTGAAACCCCCGCTCTTGGGGTCCTGCCTGGCGCGGGGACAAACCCCCCCTCGGCTCTGCGGGTGGGAGGGGAGCGCGCTGTCCCCGCTGTCCCCGCTGTCCCCGCAGCCCGTGACTCCCCCGCGCCCCATCGCGGTGCCCTCCCTGCCTCGGGGCCGGCGCCGGCGCCCTTGTGCCGCCCTTGGCCTTCCTCCTCCTCCCTTGGGCGATGAAGCAATCGGGGACACTCGGCAAAGGGCTGACGGAGCGCGTCACCCGCTCCCAGAGGGACATCCTGTTTGGGTGACAACCACCGCCACCCCCGCCCCTCGCCCAGGGCCAAGGGCGTCCAGCGCCGCCTCGCCCAGCGCGGGGACGCTCCCGACGCCCGGCGTGTGGCGTGACGGGCTCCTCGTGACGCCCGTGTCCCCAGAGGGGTCTCTGTGACACCTGCGGTCACGTGGGTGCTGTCCCCAGAGCATGGGGTGTCCCTGTCCATGGGGTGTCTGTGTCCCTGTCCATGGATGTCCCTGTCCGTGGTGTGTCCGTGTTCTCCGTGACACTCACACCAAGGGTGACATTCCACGTGTCCCATGACACCCCTGTCCCGAGGGGTTTCCTGCCATGCACCGTGTGGGGTCCCCATGACGTCCCTTCCCGTGGCATCTCATGTGCCACCTGTGTCCCTTGTCCCTTCCTATGGGCCAGAGTGTCTCTGGGGTCCCTGTGACCCCCATGGCCCTTCCCGTGTCTCTGGGGTCCCTGTGACCCCCGTGGTCCTTCCCGTGTCTCTGGGGTCCCTGTGACCCCATGTCCCAGGCTGGTTCCAGTGCCCAAGGAATCCCCTGTGACCCCAATATCCCTTCCTGTATTTCTGGGCTGCCCGTGACCCCCCTGTCCGGTGTCCCCACGATCCAAACCACGCCATCCCTGCCCCCTCCCCTCTGCCCCATCCCTCCTATTCCCGTGCTGGGTCCTGACCCTTTTCCCTGTGCCCATCCCAGCTCTCTGACCCTTTTCCCTGTACTCATCCCATCCTTCCCCTTCCCATGTCGGGTCCTGACCCTTTTCCCTGTGTTCATCCCACCCTCCAGCTCCATCCTGGCTCTCTGACCCTTTTCCCTGCACTCATCCTGGCTCTCTGACCCTTTTCCCTGTGCCCATTCCACCTCCTGCTGCCGTCCTGGAGCTCTGACCCTTTTCCTTGTGCCCATCCCATCCCTCCCATTCCCATGCCAGGTCCTCCTGACCCTTTTCCCTGTACCCACCCCACCCGCCCGCTCCTTCCCGGGGCTCTGACCCCTCTCCCTGCACCCGTCCCGTCTCTCTGACCCTTTTCCCTGTGCCCACTCCACCTTTCTGCTCCCTTCCCGGAGGTCTGACCCCTTTCCCTGTGCCCATCCCATCTCTCTGACCCTTTTTCCTGCCCCCATCCCGTCTCTCTGACCCCTTTTCCCTGTGCCCATCCCATCTCTCTGACCTTTTTCCTGCCCCCATCCCATCTCTCTGACCCCTTTTCCTGCCCCCATCCCATCTCTCTGACCCTTTTCCCTGCCCCCATCCCGTCTCTCTGACCCCTTTTCCCTGCGCCCATCCCGTCTCTCTGACCCTTTTCCCTGCCCTCCCCCCAACCCCAGGCGAAGATCTGGTTCCAGAACCGGCGCTCCAAGTTCAAGAAGCTCTACAAGAACGGCGAGGTGCCCCTGGAGCACAGCCCCAACAACAGCGACTCCATGGCCTGCAACTCGCCGCCGTCGCCGGTGTGGGACAGTCCCGGCACCGCCCGCACCCCGCTGCCGCAGCCGCTGCCCTACAGCTCCTCGCCGGGTTTCCTGGAGGAGCACAACCCCTGGTACCACCCCCAGAGCCTCAGCGGCCCCCACGGACCCCCCCAGGGGCAGGCGGCCCCCCCGATGCACCACCCGTCCCCCGGGCCCCCCAGCACCGTGTACTGACGGGCACCGAGGGCTCAGAGACGCTGCACAACTCCTTGGCCTCCTTTTTTCCCCCCCACTGGTTTGGTTTTGTCTCTTGATTTTTCCTTAAAAACCCCCCCCAAAAAACCAACAACAACAGCAACAAACCAAAGGAAATGAACCCCCCCCCGCGCACCCCTAGAAATCCTCGCTGCTCGCCCCGCTCATCTCAGGAACCAGAGGACTGCAAAGGCTCCGAACCCTCCGCTCCCAGCGCAGGAAAAGCTGGAAAATCCTCCCGTACTTTTTAATTTCCCAAGATTTTCCATCACCCCCTTCACACCCCCCCAGCTCCCGACAAATTTGGCCCCCGGAGATCCCGATCCCAACCCCTCGCTGGAGCTTTGCCTGTCGGGGTGACCCCGCTGAGCGGACCCCGCCGGGCTGGAGGAGCTGTGTCACCGCTGTCGCGACAGTGACAGGGGCGTGTCTGTCCCCAGCGGAGTGCTTGGCCCCGGCTCCGAAACCGGGGGCGGTTTTGGGGGTCACGGACCCCTCCCCACGGGAGCAAAGCGCGACCCTCGCCCCAGCCGGAATCACCCGGGACGATGCTCAGACCAGAAGGTGGTGATTTAAAATTGTGGCGATTTAAAATTGTGGTGATTTTAAAATTGTGGCGATTTAAAATTGAATAAAAAAATCGGGTGGGGGGAGGGTGTGGGGAGGGAAATATTTTAATATTTAAGCAGTTCAGGAATGGTTTTAAGTTATTGTTTGAAGAGAAAAACTCGTGTTCATCTCCGTTTTCTGGCTGTGCCTCCAGCTGTGGGTAAAGGAACGGCGAAAATGCCTCTTTTTTAAGGAAATCGACGACTTATTTTAAAGGAAAAAAAAATAACCGAGCTCTTTCCTATTTTTTAAGAGAATAACGCTATTTTTTTAAGCAGAAAGTGCCGTTTTAAGGAGTGTTCATAGTGTTGTACAGTCCCGGGGATTTATTTATGTTGCCTTCTATAAATAGGGGTGTTTTGGGGGGAAAAAAAAGGGAGTGTACATAAGGTTCGTTTGTATAAAGTTGTTCCAAACCAAACTGGTTTCGGTCTGGTTTTTTTTTTTTTTTTTGGGTTTTTTTGTCTATAATTTTTCTTTTTTCCTAAGGAAAATCCCCCCCCAGTTGATGGGAACCCCTCTCCGGTGTCCCTGAGTGTCCTTTGCTCCTTCCGCAGGGACCCAAAGCCGGGCTGGAAATGTTCATTAACGAAAGTTCTGAAGTTAAAACTCCCAACTCCGATTTTCCCCGGTTTCTGGAGAGTTTTGGGGAGCAGGCTTTGGGGTTTTTCCACCTCGGGAAATGTGGATTTAAACCCCATTTTTGGGGGACAGTTGGGCACCGGGCGGCACCTTGCCTTCTATAAATAGGGGTGTTTTGGGGGGAAAAAAAAGGGAGTGTACATAAGGTTCGTTTGTATAAAGTTGTTCCAAACCAAACTGGTTTCGGTCTGGTTTTCTTTTTTCTTTTTTTTTTTGGTTTTTTTTTGTCTATAATTTTTCTTTTTTCCTAAGGAAAATCCCCCCCCAGTTGATGGGAACCCCTCTCCGGTGTCCCTGAGTGTCCTTTGCTCCTTCCGCAGGGACCCAAAGCCGGGCTGGAAATGTTCATTAACGAAAGTTCTGAAGTTAAAACTCCCAACTCCGATTTTCCCCGGTTTCTGGAGAGTTTTGGGGAGCAGGCTTTGGGGTTTTTCCACCTCGGGAAATGTGGATTTAAACCCCATTTTTGGGGGACAGTTGGGCACCGGGCGGCACCGGCTGATGTTGCCTCACCCCAACCCCGCCTTGGTCCTGCTGAGAGGGAATTTGGGGCAGGAAAAGGAATTTTTTTCCCCGGTTTTCAGAGCATTCCCCAAACGGCCGCGGGACCCCGGCGCTTCCCTCCCGCTGCTCCCACTGGGACCAGCGAGCTCCCAGCGATGTCCCTTTTGGGGACAGCGAGGTGGGGACAGGACAAACCCTCCCAAAATCCCAAAATCCCACGGGATCCACCCGTTCCCTGCCGTCCCCGCAGCGCTGCGGGCTTGGGGCGCTGCCGTGACCCCAGAAACCCCCGCGGGGTGTCCAGGGCTGCGGTGGCCCTGTCCTGCTGTCCCCGCTGTCCCCCTCGCCGCGTCACGCGTGTGGGGACCCCATCACCCTCCCAGGGCTGTCCCCATCACCCCCGATGGCCGCGGGGACCCCAAACCCCGCTCGGCTCCCCTGGGGAGGCCCCAGCGCCGCAGCTCGGGGCGCTCCCGGCTCTCGGTGTCCCCAGACGCGTCCCCAAGGCCCCCGGTCCCAAAGCCACGCAGGGATTTCCCTCCCACCTCGCCCCCAAATCCCCCCACAAGCCGCAGCCCCAAGTGCCCGTTCCCAGCCCCGCGGGAGGAGGAGGAACCGGAGCCGGGAGCTCCGTGCCATGAGGAGGTTTCGGTTTAGTTTTTATATTTTTTTTAATATAATATAATTTTTTTTTTTTCATTTAGAGGAGGAGAAAAAAAAAAGCCCAGGAAGGCGGCGGGTTACATATCCAGGGATTATGTAAATCCCCGGTGCCGCGCTGCCCACGGCCAGGCGCGACCGGCGCTCCCAGCGCTGCCGGCGCCCCGCGCTGCCCGGGGGCTCCGGGAAAAGCTTTGGGGTCGGGGGGCTCCGGGAAAAGCTTTGGGGTCGGGGGGCTCTGGAATAAACCTGGGGCGGGGGGCTCCGGGAAAAGCTTTAGGGTCGGGGGGCTCCTGAAAATCCTGGGGTTGAGGAGCTCCGGGACGAGCCTGGGGTCGGGGGGCTCCAGGACAAGCCTTGGGGTCTGGGGGCTCTCCCAGCCCCCCCGTCCCGCCCTCCAGAGGGTCCGCCCGGGGTCCTGTCCCCCTTTTGTCCCCCCTCATGCCCACCCTCAGCCCCCGGGGGTCACCGCAGGCTCCTCCCGCAGCCGAGAGCTCCCCAGGACCCCCCAAAAAGCGGCCGCTGGACCCCGAGACCCCTCCCGGGCCAGGCTCGGTGTTTCAGCGCGCCCCCCGAAGGGGATGGCAACGGGAGCCAGGGGCAGGGTCCCCACGGGGCTGGGGACATCCCCCCAGTGTCCCCAGCAGCCCTGTCCTGTCCTGGCACAGGCACACAGCAAGCTCCCCTCGTCATGCCAGTCATCCCAGTTACCCCAGTTACCCATCGCAGTTACCCCAGTTACCCATCCCAGTTACCCCAGTTACCCATCCCAGTTACCCATCCCAGTTACCCATCCCAGTTATCCCAGTTACCCATCCCAGTCATCCCAGTTACCCCAAGGACAGCGGGACCAGCACCGGGATGGCAGGACCCATCCCAGTTACCCATCCCAGTTATCCCAGTTACCCATCCCAGTCATCCCAGTTACCCCAAGGACAGCGGGACCAGCACCGGGATGGCAGGACTGGCTTTTGTGGGTCCTGGAGGGGGGGGTGGCAGTGCCGGGGTGGCAGTGCCAGGTGTGACAGCGACAGGTGTGACAGTGCCAGGTATGGCAGTGATAGGTGTGACAGTGCCAGGGTGGCAGTGCCAGGGGTGGCAGAGCCAGGTGTGACAGTGACAGGTGTGGCGGTGCCAGGTGTGACAGTGCCGGGGTGGCAGTGCCAGGTGTGACAGTGCCAGGTGTGGCAATGCCGGGGTGGCAGTGCCAGGTGTGGGAGTGACAGGGGTGGCAGTGACAGGGGTGGCAGTGCCGGGGGTGGCAGTGACAGGGGTGACAGTGACAGGGGTGGCAGTTCCGGGGGTGGCAGTGCCCCGTCCCCCGCTGTCCCCCGGGCCCAGCAGAGCCCTCCCAGCGCGCACTCGGCTCCTGCCCCGTTGCGACACCTGCAGCCCTTGCGTCACCCGGTGCCAGCCCCGGGAGCGGGGGCAGCGCCCGCCCACGGCCCGGCCCGGCAGCCCCAGCCCCGCAGCCCGGCCCGGCCCTCGGCTCGCCCGGAGCCGCGCGGAGTCACGGCCCCGCAGACGGGACAGCTCCGGCTTTTAGGGGGTCTGTCCCCATCCCCCGGGGTGTCCTGCTGGGGACAGGGAGGTGACACCGCGGCCCAAACCCATCCCCTTCCCTGAATCCTCAGTAGGGAGGGTGGGCGCCATCCTCAGGGAAAATCCCGCTGGGAGCGTCACCCAGCACGGGATGGGCACGGGACACGGCCAGGACCTGCCCTGGGCTGCACAGCGCCGTGGGGACAGCAGGGACGCCCATGCGGTGGGGACAGCACCCTGGGGACACCCATGCCGTGGGGACAGCACCCTGGGGACACCCATCCCGTGGGGACAGCACCCCAGAGCCCTCGGCTGAGGGACCAGAGCTCCCAGGGTGGCCGGGAATGGGGACAGGGGAGTCCCCAGTGCCACCAGCCCCGGACAGGCTCTGATCTCCACCCCAGCCCCAACCCTTGCCCTCGATCCCGACCCCTCAGGGGGGATCCGGGGATAACCCGGCCCCAAGAGGCGCCGGAGGTGCAAAAGCAGAGCAGGTCCTGGAAGGGGACAGGGAGGGACCCTTGGGGCAGGGGATGGATCACGGGGTGGGAATATCGGGGGCCAGGACCACAGAGTGGGAATTTCAGGAACCAGGATCACAGAGTGACAATATCAGGAGCCAGGATCATGGAGTGGGAATTTCAGGAGCCAGGATCACAGAGTGGGAATTTCAGGAACCAGGATCCAGGGGTGTTTGTGCAGGGGGCAGAGCTGCTGCCCCTTGGCCGGGGGAGCCCCAGTGGGGTCTGGCCCCCACTGCAGGGGACAAACACAGAGCAGGGTTGGGAAAAGGGAGAAATAACGACATGGAAAGGAGGGGAAACAACAAGGATGTATTTTGCAGCCGGTTCTGGCCTCGGGAAGCACAAAGCCAAAGCCGCAGAGGGAAATCCCCCCTGCTCCCGGGGCCGGGTGTCTGTGGGGGCACCGGGCAGGGAGCAGGCTCAGCTGGGGTCTCCAGCCTGCCCCGTGTCCCCCTGCCCTCCCAGTGCCACCCCGGCTGGGGGAGACGTCTCTGACAG